TGCTCCCCTTGGGCCTTAGTGGTTTCCTGGTTTCTCTCCCTGGGACTGTAGCTTGGGTATGTCCCACACATGACCAATCCCTCCCTTCCTCTTAAAAGACACGTTCAGGCAAGACCAACGTTCTTTTTCCAGAGGAAGGGAGGGATTGGTCATGTGTGGGACATACCCAAGCTACAGTCCCAGGGAGAGAAACCAGGAAACCACTAAGGCCCAAGGGGAGCATCAGCTGCCACCCTCTGCAAGACCCTCTGACCAAATGATGCATCCGCCGAAGCGAAGGCACCCAGACGATAATGTCGCTAAAAGGCGTTGGAGAAGCCCAAGTGGACGCATGACAAATGTCTTCAAACGGGGCCCTCATGGCCCATGCCGCTGCGTTTGCGGCACTCCTAGTAGAATGGGCTCTGATGCCCGATGGGGCTGGACAACCAGCTGCTCCATAGGCCTCCACTGTGGCCTGACGCAGCCAACGGCCAATGGTGGCCGAGGACACCCTAGAACCTAACGTTCCCGGCTGGAATGAAACAAACAAAGCCTCTGACCTACGGACCCCCTCAGTCTGCCGGAGGTAGATCCGCAGAGCATGGTGCACATCCAACCGATGCCAAAGACTCTCCCTATCATTGGATGGGCCTGGGCAAAAGCTGGGCAGGACGATCTCCTGAGCCCTATGAAAGGGAGTGTTCACCTTCGGGATGAAGGTAGGATCAAGGCGAAGCACCACACTGTCCTGGTGAAAATGGCAAAGGTTGTCCCTGGAAGACAGGGCACCCAACTCCGAAATACGTCGGGCGGAGGTAACCGCCACCAGGAAAGCCACTTTCAAAGACAAGAACTGCAGATGAACAGACCCGGAGAGGTTCGAATGGGGCCCCCGTCAAAGCCCTGATAACCCAGGGAAGATCCCATGTGGGGAACCTTTGGATGGGGGGAGACCTGAGATTAGCTGCCCCCTTCAGAAAACGCTTGATCTGGGGAACATGAGAGAGGGAAGAAGACCCCACACCCCCCAGGACCGAAGACAAAGCCGCCACCTAGCGGCGCAACGTAGACAATGAAAGCCCATCGTCAAGGCCCTTCTGCAGGAAATCCAAGACGTGAGGAATAGTGGCCCTGTCGGGAGAAATGCCAAGAGGAGCAAACCACCGGACAAAGACCGCCCAGGTGGAATTGTAGATGCGGGTCATCAAAGGATGCCGAGATGCCTCGTTGGTATGAATGACCCCGGCAGACAGGTTAGCCCCCCCCTCAGTAGCTGCCGTTTAAGAGCCAGGCGGTCAGATGGAGCCACTGGGGCTCCGGGTGAAGCAGGACCCCCTGCTGCAAGATCACCTCCTCCCACAGGATCCTCCATGGAGGGGCCACCGACAGCTGGACTAGGTCCGTGAACCAAGGCCTCCTGGGCCAATAAGGGGCCACCACAATGCCCAGAGCCTTCTCCGCCACCTCCTTCCGGATGGTCCCCGGAATGAGGGGGATGGGAGGAAATGCATACAGAAGGTCCACGGGCCACCTGCTCCTGAGGGCGTCCGTGCCCTTCGCAGACTTGGACAGGAAACAGGTGAAAAACTGGGGAAGCTGCGAGTTCGCGGGTGAGGCGAACAGATCCACCAGAGGAGTGCCAAACCTCTGACAGATCTTCTGAAACAACGATGGATGGAGTTGCCACTCGCCATTATCCAGAGTCGCCCCACTCAGCCAATCTGACTGGACGTTAGAGAGCTGGGAGATGTGTTCCAACACCAAGGACAACAGGTGCCTCTCCACCCAGGCACCCAGTCTCAGAGCCTCCAGTCAGAGAGCCCAAGAGTGGGTCCTCCCCAACGATTGATGTGGGCCTTGGTGGCCACATTGTCTGTCAGGAGCAGTATGTGACGCCCCAC